CTAGTAAACGTGACCGCATTTGGTGTAAAAAGGCTGTTTTAGCAGATAGGAGTAACTATTTTGAACACGCTATTCTACAGTATCTGAATTCACTCTTATACATAGAGCACTGAGACTTCTAATATGTGCTACCTCTCCATTACTGACACACAGATGGAGCTGCTGTGACGGCCATGTGTTTGAACACGTTAGGTAAGAGAATTGAATGTTGAATGAGTTCATAAACGATTCATAACAAATTTTTATCATTTGGGTCACGAAGACTGCTGCATTAGACTAAAGAACACGCTTTAGGGCAAGTTGTCATTCATCGTCGGCTCTACAGATGAATTGCTGTGCGCCGCATCTCGGTGGCAATGCTTTGAATCATATGGTTCAAAATAGGGACAAAGATTACGCCTCCCGTAATTTTATCGACAAAAACACTGTGAAATTCATTTTAACGTACGATACTTCAGTTTTGCGTTTGCACTGTGGATACTTGCGCACAAGTGATTGGTATGGAAGCTTGTCATGTACAAGTATTTTGAATAGGAATGATCTATAGCGTGACTGCTGAAACTGGGGTGTATAGGTATCTATGTGCGTGAGAATGGAGGCTTTTAGCTATATTTCTTGCCAACGGGACATCAAAAAATGTCTTCTGTAAACGTAACCCATTTTCCGTTCTGCCAATAATGTATCATTAACGGAAGAGCGGTAAAGAGCTCCCTCCAGAGAAATTCCGGCTTAGGTGTCGGTGGCTCCGAGTGGAAAATTGTCTTGTCCATGGCCGAAAATTGAGAGAATGCAAATAAAACAAATATTATAAGTTTTCGGGTCTTAATTATGATCAAAATCAAGCAGATCATTTACATAGAAAGCAAGTGCTCTACCTCGCAGCTATGCGTCTGCTTGGAAATGAAGTACGAACAACTTAATCTAGTTGGAAGTATAGGAAAAATAACTGTCATGCTTAACAAATACATGCATCCTTTATACACGTTTCACAGCACAGCATTTATTATCGCAGCAATATTGCATGATAGAAGCGTGCATTGTCATCGGGCATCACAACACGTTATTACCAACGTGACTTCGCGGTCTAAAAACAGCCAACCATTACAAAAGGCGCAGATGTCACTGCGTATATTCCTTCAAGACTGCGTAGTGGGTGCGTAAAGTTCTAAAACATTTTACACACACAATATTGAGCATCACGGTCTGCTGGACGAGTTGGTTTTCATCTTAACGGAGTTGCGCAAAAAAATTTGAAGTGCGAAGAGAAGACGCCTGGACACAGCGCACACTAACAACTAAAACTTCATTGGAGAAAACAGACATATATATGTGGTTAGGAGAACACTTTAGGTAGAAAAATATTTGATGAGCAGACATCTAATTATTTTCTTTTTTTCTACGGTATTTATTAAAGTACTTGGGCAATAAAGAGAAAATCAAGCGAACAAAAGTACAATCAAATCACGAAAGTAAGCGTTCAAGCGTTACACATAAACACTAAATGGCTCACACAGCGCGAGTTCCTCACACGGAGAGTTCTTCACATCGTGTTATACAAACAAAAAAGGGGTGAGGTCAAACAGTTCTCTAAGACGGAGTACCAGTCCGGTCTAAAGTCTAGCTCGTCGTGAATGTTTTTGAGATGGATAGCCATTTGAATGAAGTGTGCGCTTGAAGAGGTGGTGGGCTCTGCATTGCGGTCTTGCATTCGTGTCTTCCACAAGTTGTGCAAACCCATGAGGAAAAACATATCATACTGTCCTTCATCACGCGTTGCTGGTAGAAGATAACGTATTGTGTGCGAATTAATGACGAAACGCTTTCACCGTGCGTGTGGACATCGTGTGGTGTGCGGCACTCCGCTGTCGTGTGGGAAGTATTATTTAGGATTCAATATTTTAATTGTGGATTACAAAGCTTCTCTAAAGGGACAACCATGCTCTAACCAATCATCGCAATTAGAGAGTGCGGCTGCGCGCCCTTGTTTGCTGATACGGTAGTTAAAGCTAGATTCAGGGACACGGTAGCACGGGAAATTGAAGAGGCGTATCTCACAAACAAAGCTGTTGATTCATGTGTCCCGTAACTCGCGGTTATGTTGCTTACCCCTGAGGTAGCTTTTCTGGAAAGAAAGGCATCATTCATACATTATGTCTGCTCATCTGATCATTTCTTTCACCACGCGTGTTCTCGTAATCGCATATATATATATATATATATATATTTATATATATATATATATATATATATATATATATATATATATATATATATATATAGCATCGAACGCGTCATTCGAAGGTTGCAGGTTCGGATCCTGCCCACGGCAAGTTATCTTTTCACCCACTTTTCCTCTTTGTTACATTACAATTCGGTCTAATATCTTCCCCTATACTTTCCTGGGCATTATTGTCTGTTAGATCTCAGTAATATTGTGTAAAACACGAAAAAACGAGCCCCTAAGTATACAGTTCTTTCCTTAATATATATATATATATATATATATATATATATATATATATATATATATATATATATATATATATATATATATATATATATATATATATGTATATATATATATATATATATATATATGTCTGTTTTCTCCAACAAAGTTTAAGTTGCCAGTTTGTGCTGTGCCCAGTTGTTTTCTTTTTGTATTTCTTTTTTTTTCGCGCAACTCAAGTAATACCATTATATTGTTTGTGCTTTAATTTATGCAACCCTTTTTTTACACAGAATGCAGCCTTGTGCAAAACCTTCACTGAGACAAGACACTTTCAACTTTCTATATTACACAGAAGAATTCCAGAATCACAGTTGTTCAAGTAGCCTCATGCAATAAAAGTTACACACTGAGGGGTTGAATTACGCACAAGAAACAGAATATTGCTATCGCATTCAACTCTGAAAAACGGAGCTTAATGGTCGCCCAGTTTTTTTCACACAGTAGCAAGCCCTAATGCATCAGACCAGTTTATTTGTCGGATTGCGTGAAACTATCTACAGTACTCACGGATTAAAACGTTACATCACAATATTTTATGTCGCTACGTATTTGAGTATGTGCAGTTCTTCATGATAACCACGCGATGTTGCGACATCTGTGACGATAATCTTCCCTGTGATGTGCGCATTCTAGTCGAATTTACACTCATTTCACCCGAAGTGTAGATGGTAGGAACAAAATGATGGTCTACTTTCTGTTTTTTGTTTCTATTCATGAGCATTGCACCCTGCTTCAAAGAACCTAACTAGAAAAAAATTTGCCTGCGTGTCTTTATCAAAAGAGACATAAATAAAAAACAAGGGGAAGTAGACGAACAAATACCAATTCAAGCGCGGGCTCATAAATCTCATGACACCCTTGGAATGAAGATATGCAAGTGTTTTTATTTGTAATTGCGCAAGTTGTAATTTATTCCTGGTAATTTCTCGAGCATTAAAATGACAAAAACGCAAAACAAGTATATTTAAATCAATATATTTAGTTAAAGTACAATACCGCAAAACCCATATTTTTCCTAGTGTAGAGTTTTCGATTAAATAGAGCACTCTCTGGAAGAAATAGAAAAAGAAAGTGTTGTCGTATCACTTAAACAAAAGAGCTTAATCACGTAACCACAATTAGTCTGAAGTTATTTACTCACGAAGCATGCAATGCGCTATGTTTTCTGAGTTATCATAGTATTTGCGAACAACTTGTGAAGGCAATAAAAACTTACCTTACCATTTAAGCGAGACTTGTCTTTCAAGGAGCCGGTTAATGCAGAAACCTATTCACACCTTAAAGCCACCGCATCCATTTATACTGCTTTTGGGTGAAGTGATGGAATGCTTGCCCGCAAGCATAGGTACCAATTTTTTTTTTCGCACGAAAAGTAGCGATTGCCAATCCAGCGGCCTACACACGCACACGCACACAAAACCACTTCCACGTCCGTCCAAAACTTCGCCACGTACAGCGAAGTAGATTCCTGAGAGCTGCGTGATTATCTTGTCTAAATTGGAGCCGTAGTTGAAGACTAAATAAGAGCAAGAAGAATGGAAAGTGTCAAAGTCAATCAGCAGCGCACCCATGACTCCGGCAAGCGGAGAAGCAACAATGGCGCGGATGGATACAGTGCAAGCTTGACAAGGTAACTACAGTGTACTAGAATAGAGGCAGTGTGCTCACTGCCCTATCCTTGCGGCGCGCCACCGTAGCGCACTCTGTGTCGACTTCCACGATGCCCACCAGGGGCGCTGACGCTTGACGCACCTGAAAAACTTCTCTTGGTTCGTGTTGACCGTGTTGGCGGACGGGGCTGGTTCGCTCAGTTCAGTTCGATCGGTTCAATTGGATCAACGTGGGTACCCCGTGTGCGTGTTCTGTGCTTTATGCTTGGATCATTGTGTAGTATGTGTTCGTGAAGATGCCTAACCGCCGTCGAAATTACTGTTTTGCGCCCGGTTGTCGAACTGGGTACAGTCGTGTGCAGGATGCACCACAGGCGTCTTTGTTCAGCGTCCCGCGTGATGAATAACGGCGGAAGGAGTGGGAAAGAAATCTCCACCGTGCAGATAAGAAACTGGATGAGTTTTCTGCGGTCTGCGAACTGCATTTCGAACCGAGGTTCGTTATCAAGGAGCTCGTGCACCATATAGATGGCAAAGAGGTACGCATTCCTCGTGATAAACCGATGCTGTCGGAAAACGCCGTCCCCACGATTCTTCCAAATTTGCCGCAGTACCTCACGAAGAAGATGCCAAAACCAAGAGCTAAAAGGAAGATGTGCGAAAATGACCATGCAGCCGCAAAGAAAAAGAGCCGAAGTGCTCTCGAGACTGACTGCACTGAATTTCCACGGGCTGCTGTTGGTGATTCAGGGGAGGACTGCGACTTGACACACGATAACGTTCCAGCGGAGCCCGAGCATTGCTTGTCGTTTTGTTATTGTTTAAAGACTCCTTCCAAGTACTGGAGTATGCATCACCATCCTGACCTTAACGGAGTGATGTATTGCTCGTCGACTTACCTTGAAGAAGGCGTTGTCACGTCCGAAAAAGTTGTGTTGTTCCTCTGCGATAAACCGCCCGATAGCTACTGCAAGGTGTTTGTGAGGGGGCGGCTGATTGAGGAGCGCATCATTAAATGTCAGGAAGAAGCGGAAAGCGTGCTGGAAAGCGTGGAAGCTACCAAACTCTGTATTGGTGCTCTGAATGCCAAAGATTATGACACCTGCTTTTTAACAGCAGGACTCCAGAAGCAGCTCAAAGTCAAGCATGCGACGTATTTCAGCATCAACTGCAGCGGCAAAGTAACAACCAAAGGTGGGTAACGAGTCACCCAATTTTCACTTGACTGAAGTAGTGCAGTTCTTTGTTACATAATGTATTACTTGCTGGCGCATTCTGGCGCCTATAAGTACTGGCAGTACTTTCTTGTTCACGTCCCAGTCAGAATTTTCTACAATTTCCGCACATTTCTATTTTCAGGTGGACAGTGCATGAGCTGCAAATACTTCAGGAAGGCTCTCTTGACAAGGAGGTCAAGAGTACAACGAACACCTTCCAGGGCTTCCAAAAGTGTTGCCCAAAGGCTGAGGTTCCTTTCACGTAAAAACAAGCGCTTCGCTTCACGGATTTCCACAATGAGGGAAGATGTTGAAAAGATGCGGGCATCCAATGCAGCAGTAGCCGAAGAGACTCTAAGTGAGCAGATTTCGAAGCTTCCCCAGAAGCAACAAGAATGTGTCAGACAATGCTTTGCCGCAGCAGCAGCAAAAAAAAAAGGTTTCCGCTATAGCAAGCTGTGGATCCGGGAATGCATCATAATGAAAATGAAGAGTTCTCACCTTTATGACCACATCAGGGACAATGAAATACTCTCCCTTCCGAGCAAATCAACACTGAAACAATACACGGCTCTGTACAAATCAGCATTTGGCTTCAGCAAAAAAGTGTTGGAAGAATTGAAGAACAAGACGCGAGACGTGGACCCATTCAAAAAGCACGGCGGACTTCTTGTAGATGAGCTCAAGCTTGCAGAGCATATATCTGTGAAGCAGTCAGGTCAAATCGAAGGGTATGTAGATTTAGGACCGTTCACTTCTGCAGCAGACAGGACCACGCATTCGGATCACGGCATGGTGATCCTATTTGTTCCGTTCGTCGGTGGATGGACGCAAGTGATCGGGACATTTGCAACCAGAGGCAACATCAAAGGCGATTTGCTAGCTCAAATAATGGTAGAGGCCACAGTGCTTACTGAGAAGAGCGGGCTTTTTGTTGACTTTATAACGTGTGACGGCGCCACTTGGAACCGTCGGATGTGGACATTGCTCGGTGTAAAGGGAACGCGTGGCAGCGTAAGTGCAAAGTGAAACATCCAGTTGATGAAAGCCGTTATTTGCACTTTGTATCGGACTTTCCCCACCTCATAAAGTGCTTGCGGAACAGACTTTTGAAGTGCTCATTTAACACACCAGACGGGGATGTAAGTCATTTTCTTTTGCCATTTATGAAAAAGGGCACATGTTTACGAAATTCCACATCTTTCAAACCACCTGGTGAAAGAAAAAGTGCTGTTTGCTTTGTTTCCCAGCTTTACTAAGCATTTTTTTCCTCAGGTGTCGTTGTGGCATGTCAAGAAAGCCTACGAGCTTGACTTCAAGAGCCCTACGTTAAAGGCAATGCCAGGAATAACCAAGTGCCACGTGCAGCCAACTTCATTCGAGCAGCAGAGAGTTTCCTACGATTTCCAACTGTTTGGGGAGAGAGTTCTTCAAGGGCTCCTCCACCTTTACAAGGATAAAATTGAGGCAAAGACAGGACCCATAAATAGCACACAGGAGTTTTTTGAAGTAAGAATTTTGGAGATGTTATTTGGATGTGAGCAAGTTAGTATGCATGCTTATTCATAGATAGTTCCTTAGTCATAGGACCTTCACGTATTGTACAGAAGTGCCACTACATAGATTAGAACTCAACCAACAAAGACAGTACAAAGTGCAAAGTTAAGGTGCGGTTGCCATGCAAGCCAAATATAACATGTATATGAAGGAACTTAAACTCATAATGATTCGAATTTTTTTTGACAGGAGGATCAACCGCCTGATCACCATTATGACGTCTCGGCACCCAAGAGAAGCCCTGAAACCCAACTCCTCTTCAGCAACAGCTCTTTCGGATTTTCTGGAGTACCTGGATTCTTGGGAGCAGCACACAGAAAAAAAAGGAGGGTTCTTGAGCCATTCAACTGCGATTGGCCTGCGTGTCACGATATCAAGCACTCTTGAGCTTCTTTCCTACCTTGCAAGTTTAGGTTATTCGTACCTTATGACATCCAGACTTTGTCAGGACCCCCTTGAGAATACGTTTGGGATAGTCAGGCAAGCCTCTGGCTGTAACGATCATCCGACACCCACTCAGTTTCTCATAACCATGAACTGCATATCTTTCTACAGTTTAGTGAAAACCGTTAGATATGGTAATGCAGATCCATGTGCACTAAGTGCCTTGCTAGACACACAGCAGAGCCGCACAAGTTGCCCTCCCAGCAACAATTTGTGGGAACAGGTAGATGTTCTGATTGCTTCGGGGAATTTACCTGAAGCCGAAGTGGTGTTGTCTTCGATGGAGCATGACGAGCACATACAGAGGAGCGACTCTCGCCTAATTTACTATGTGGCGAGATACGTTGCACGAAAGTGCGTAATGAAAACTAACTGCCAAGACTGCATGGATGCTCTCACCGGGCCATCTGAAGATGAGAATCCTGGGCTTGCTGCGCTGACGCTGCACAAGGATCGAGGTGGACTTCTCTATCCACGCGGCACACTCTTTTCGTTTGCAAAAATGCTTGAAGACATGTTTACAGAACACTTCAGCAAGAAAGAACTGCATGCTGATAGCATATTGGATGTGCTGAGTCTGGTGAGGGCAAAGTGCACACGCCAAATAGGCTGCAGTGAGCATTCAGCTCGGCTCACCAAGGATGTAATCAGCTTTTACATCACAACGCAGCTTCATTTCTTTGCAAAGGGCATTAATTCTGAGAAACTGGATAAGAGGAAGAGCATGACACACCGGAAGATTGCGAAAACTTAATGAGGCATGTTCACTGATGCCATGTTCACTGGTGCCACCATGTCACTGGTGCCAATGACATGGTGCATGTTCACTGGTGCATATCAATGTGTAAATGTCTCGATTTGCCATTATTTAGCCTTTTTTTGCAAACCTGCATGGTGCATGTTCAATGGTGCATATCAATGTGTAAATGTCTCGATTTGCCATTATTCAGCCTTTTTTTTACCCTAATATTTCTTGTGCAAATTCTTTCATCACTTATTTGTAAATAAACATTATTTCATCAATTTACATGGATTTTTATCATTTCTTTTTAATTTGCTACGTCATTAACTTGATGGATACACGAAATATGAAAATTCAGAGGCAATGAATGGAATGGACTCTGGCAGTGAAGGACAGGAGCAGGTGTAAATCAATGAAAGAGGTCTCCGTCCTGCAGGACCTAACAGGCTGTTGATAATAATGATGCTTACAGCAAGAATCACGCCACACACCAATCATCACCTAAAGTCTCGAAGCAGCGATGCTAGAATGTTAAACGTCGTGCGTGGTTGTCATGGTGGTTAAAGTTTGGGTTTAGGGCGCGCATTTCTGCAGCAGGCACGTTATCAAGAAAAACCCGGCGTGGGGGCTGTCTAAAGCGTTGTACTGTTGAACCTTAGGACGTTTGTTCGATCCTAGCCGCGGTGGCTGTTCTCCCGGCGGAGGAGAAAAAACGAAACAAGCCGCGTGTCGGCATTTTGGCTGACGTTAAAAATTCTAAAGGGATCTAAATTAACCTGCAGCCCTCCGCTATGGCGCACCTCATAGCGGAAGTATGGCTTCGGCCCGTTAAACTCCAAAATTTTAATTCTGACATTGCGAAAAAAAAAGTGCGTAGTGTTTTTCGCAGCTCGGAACCGCATTCGACATGACCGCTGCATTAGCGAAACCACTTTGAACATTTAAACGGCAGGAAAATAATACGATGTCAGTTGCTTCACGCCCTGCACACTGATAAGATGCCCCAAAAGAAGTGTCGTGCATTGCATGTCGCGAACGTTGCATAATTTCTGGCATTTCAACAATTGCGCTGTGGCTCTCTACTTCGGCGCGCAAAGGAGTTTCAGGTGACGCTGCGAACCGCACCGCCTCTCGGCGTCGACACGAAGTGAGTCACCCACCGCCGCCTGTGAGCACACTGCCCCTATTCTAGTACACTGTAAAGGTAACCCATTACCCCTTGAGACCGATGATTTACGCACTTTTCACTGGAACCAAACTCTCCTGGGCTCATTGGCAAACGACGTTTCGTTTCTTCACAAATATTAACGCAATAATATTACCATACGACTGAATGTTTGCACAAACTAATTTCTTCGTCGTTACTTGAAATGGGCCGCAGCACTTTTTTTCCTGCTGTGTCGACCCACTGCTGTAGGCCTTGGCTGGGCTAGACGGCACCTACGCGCTTTTTCGAACAACGTTTTCCGAATTTTCCACCCCTCCAACTGACGCCCTTTTTGTAGTCTTTACTATGCGCATCCCTTGCAAACTTGGCAACAGCTGCAGTGTGGTTAGGCGAGTTTTTAGGAACAATGGATCTCAACTTCCCCCCATGGGCCCAGAAAGCTGCAGGTGCATGGCCTTTGAGACAGGCATTCGGTGAAGCTGAAGTCACTGCTTTATGTACGCTGGCTACCAAGACGCGTTCCAGCCAGATTTTTCTGTTATTTTTTAAGCATTTAAAATAATAATAATAATAATAATAATACTTTTAACGTATCCGAAAATAACCATAGGGTCTTTCATGCTGCAGTGCGAGCAAAAATAAAACAGCAATAATAAACAATACGTCACAGACTGTCCTCATAAAATCTACTCAATAAAAAGAGCAAAAACACGCAGTTGAAAAGAATAATATTATTACACACATAATATTCTTTCATAACCGAAAATATCTGGCCACATTGAAGCAAATGCTAGTGTCCGGGTGCCCAAGAATCTCTATACGCGAATGTATCATTGCACAATTTGGTGGGTAAGTACCGGTATACATATTTTATAAGTGAATGCACCGCAGTGTTAGTGTTGAAAGGATATGTTCGCAAGCAGTTTTGATTATTACGCTGCTGCACTGCGAAGGCCTGTTTACATAATGTAGAATTTAGCTTAGGCATCACGCCAGCCCTTATTCGTAAAAACTGTGTCTCACTAATTGTATTCGCAAGGTAATGTTTAAGCTAATCCTGATGATGGCACGTGCGCATTAGTGACCTCGACAAAGTAATGAGAAGTTGTGTGAATCTGGCAGCCTACGTTAAAGCCCAAACCACATAAGCGCGAAAATGCACGCGACAGCGACGAGCGACGCTATGAGCGACGAAACAGGGCGTTCGCGCGACGTGTCGCGTGCTCGTTTTCGCGCAATCGCTCGGTTCTCCAGATTTGGAAACCGTCGCTCATCGCCCGGAAGTGCTGGGCTCAAGCAGCCAATAGAAAAAAACTGGAAAAGGATATACATCAGTGACGTACTGCCGGTTGTTTTCACGGCCAACGGCGATGAGCGCAACGCGTACAATGAGCGCCTCATTGATGTAATCGAACATGGGCGCAACAAAAAATAGCGCAATGTTTATTACGCATGTGCATATAAAGAAGTGCTGCAAGGCAATAATAAACACTTTCCGTTCCATTACACAAAAATATATCTTGTTTTTAAATTGGAAACCGCTCGCTACGCGGTTTTCTTGGTGCGAGTTGACAGCCTCATGCCAGCAACAGTGGAATTCGCTCGCCGAATCCGTCGCGTGAATGAGGTTTGCCTGCGCTAGCGACTGATCGCGCGAAAACGATCTACGTCGCGTCGCTCGTCGCTGTCACGTGCATTTTCGCGCTTATGTGGTTTGCGCTTAAATGTTGCTATAAAGCTTCAGCATTTCAATACATGGTCCGTTATAAGTGTATCGCGCTTGAGTCAGTTGCATCCTTCTTAACGTATTTCCATTAAGTGTGTATGACGTGAGGTTTATTTGGCGCTTGCAAACACTGAAACAAAATGATTGTTTACAAATGAACTTATAAAATTGTTTGATAAATTCACTATCGGCACAATCAAAAACGTAATACGTAGTTAAGGGGAACGCAATGTGTATTTTTGCGATCAATTAGTGCACCTTCTATTTTGAATTTAATCATAATATTGCCTGCGAGTTGCATTCACATAAACTCTTTTTTTTTGTTTTTGAATATACTCCCTTAAAGAACCAGTAAATCGCCCTGAGGTCCCAAATTTTCAAAAAAGAGATATATGTGCAGCTTTTCTTTGCGAACATGCTGACGCAAGAACTTTGCGAATACGTGCTATATTAAGGAAGTTACGAGTGCTAGAACGCCGGTGTAAGCTGGTTACAAATTTTAGCGCGGCCTCGCCCCCTTTTTCCTTCTACGAAGGGGATGGCATAGCCCATCGTTGTTAACTCCGCCCACTTCGGCAACGTGACACCACGTCAGCGATTGACGTCATCGGCGAACTCGATCAGTCACAATGCACTTCTGCTTGCTGTGAAGCATGGTTGTTTGTTTACCGTTTGCCGCACCAGCCGCGGGTCAACTATGTAACTGCCAGGTGCGAAGTGTCGACCACAAACGACCAGGTTCCCGACGTACGTCGCTAGATGGCCAATTCGCTTCAGCCATGCAGCGCGCAGGGCCCTCTTCGTGATGCACCCGGTGCCTATGCTTCTCCGCTCCCTAGTCGCTCAATTTTCAGTCGACGACAGAGCAACGCTTTTTACCCGTGTTGCTCATGTCAAAGGCGACGTATGTTCGTATGGGCGCACAGGCGCTATAGCTGAGCGAGGGGTGTACACGTGCACGCGGCAACTGCGAGGCTAGTTCTTTCACCGCATTTCCACGAAACAAGGGACAGTTTCGTAGCTGTGGGTGGGAACAGGAACTGACGTTGACTTCACTACTGTTTTTTCACACCCGTTTAGACCGATCGGCGAGCTGCGTTCTACGTCACGTCGCCGATCGCCGAGTTGACTTCACTGCGCGTGCAAGGGGGCTGGTCAGCCGTAAAAAAGACGCGCGGGAATTGTTTTTACAAATAGAGGCTCTGCGCGGGCTGGAGCGCTGTAACATTCAGAAAACGTGGTCTCTGCAGTCTCGATTGATTGATTGATTGATTGATTGATTGATTGATTGATTGATTGATTGATTGATTGATTGATTGATTGATTGATTGATTGATTGATTTGTGGGGTTTATGTCCAAAAACTATGATATGATTATGAGAGACGCCGTAGTGGAGGGCTCCGGAAATTTCGACTATTTAGGGTTCTTTAACGTGCGCCCAAATTTGAGCCCACGGGTCTTCTACAATTCCACCTCCATCGAAAATGCAGCCGCCGCAGCCGGGTTTCGATCCCGCGACATGCAGGTAAGCAGCCGAGTACCTTAGCCACTATACCACCACGGCGGAGCTCGCTGCGGTCTAATCTAGGAATTGCCGAGCTTGCATTGGGGGTATAAAAAAAATTCGGAGCCTGTTTACTGGCCCTTTAAACATCACACTGCGCATGCAAATACGGTAAATGGCAGCTGAAAGCAATGACAGATCGATATACACAGGATAAGTGAAATCTTGTTATATGAAAGGAGCATATAGCCATCAACAACTTCAAATAATCAGCAACTTTGTACACCGATGTGGAAGCTTAAAAGTGCATTGAAATTACTATTTCTTGCCGCTACTTCAAACAATGCTATAATGTGAACAATAAAAGTTGCATGCATTTCGCTTTTACATAATACTATATAGGATCGCTCTATAATAATAGCGAGGTTCGGGGGCTTCAATACGTTTTGTGACCCGACACGATTCCTTCCTTGTGAAACAAGTCTACTCTCGTATACATTATTTACGTTGTAATAACTGCAACTTATTGTTTTAAACCTAAATCCCATGGAAAATTTGTACAAGTTAAATTTCACGAATGCATGCATCGTTGCAACTATCACGTAAACAAAGC